TCGCTTTTCAAATAATTCACAGCGATTTAAAGAGAAAATTTACACAAACTCCAACCTCGTCCCCTTGATATTCCCGCCCTTTCCCTCACTCCTTTGGCCTTTGATGAGCTCATTTATGGACAAGCAAAAGGCAACGTCTGACAGCGGAGAATGAGACAGGGGCGGCGCGGGTGGGAACACACTGTCACATTCTCCGCCTTCACCTCCTAGTGTAACCTGAATTCCACGTCAGACCTTTCAGGTCCTAGCGGAATTCCTAATTACACTTCGGAGGCTCCGGCTACGAATGTGACAGTGTGATGTTTAAAGAAAAGACCTCACATGAGTAGCAAGGTATGAAATTAATGGCTAATGTATGTTGCCATCGACACTACACTCTGTCAAGAGAAAGAAGCTGGAAGGAAACAGCATGTTATAACCGCTGAGGACAGATACACTTTCTCAAATCAATATGAAACAGATTCAACTGTAGTGTTCCACACAAGCAAAGAAACGGCATGGATAGTGAAATAATCAGGGAGCAGGCGCGCAAGGCATGATCACTATGAGAAACCATGCATAGAAATCGGAACCACAGTCCGCACTTGTAGAAGACTCCTCACCCAGTGCTAACCGTCAAGACGGCTTGGCCAAAAGAAGCTTGGCTGTGCGGTCGGTAATAGTGGCGGATGAATGTGTTGGGCCGTGACCAGTCAGCTGTCGCCAACACATCCGCCAATGACACCCCGGCTTGTCGTGCAGCGCTAGTGGAGGCACTCCGCGTAGAATGGGCTGAGAAGTCACTTTCAACACCCGCTGCTTGGAGCAGTGTTGTCACCCATCTGGCGACAGTTGAGGTCGAGACTGGCTGAAAGGGTCGGCGAGTGGACACAACGAGAGCACTCTGCGCTGGTGTAGTGCGGCTGGACCTAGTCACATCCAGATAGGCTTTGATGCATTCCACTGGGCACAGGATCGGATCAGCCGGCAGACCTGGCACAAAGAACTTCCGCGGGCCGCCAGAGCGTTGTGTTTTGGTGACGTGAGTCAGCTCAAACTCGACACCATCTGCCAGGAAGCGCATTGCGCGGATATCCAAGTGACAGATCTCACTTACTCTTGCTGCCTTAGCCAGTGCGAGCAGCATGCACAGCTTCCAGGACAGGTGCGACAGGGTCAAAGCAGTATTCGGGCCCAATGACCGAATGTATTCTAGAACAGTGGCCACGTCCCACGTACGTGAATAGCGAGGCAATGGCGGTCGTTGATTGTAGATACCACGCATAACCCGGACGACGCTAGGCGATTGTCCGACGGGTACATTATCGTGGAGTGGCGGTACGGTGGATGACACCGCCGAACGGTACACGTTCAGGGTACGGTATTGCTTGCCTGCCTCATACTGTGTCGCTAGAAAGTTGGCTAATTGAGTAGGGTCCGCCGATACGGGATCCACACGTCGTTCGCAACACCAGCCCACCCACTGTCGCCATGCTGACTGATACGTTGCGTTGGTGCTAGTTCGCCAGGAGGAGAGCCAGAGAGTGACAGCTCCCTGCGAAAGGCCTCGCAGCGAGGCTGCTTCCCGGAGATACTCCATACGGTCAGTCGTAGGCGTTGTGCCTGTGGATGGACTTGTCCCTGTGGGTCCAGAACGTCTGACGATACTAGTCGTAGCGGAGCACTGCAGGACATTCGGAGCAGCTGAGGGTAATAAGCCTGTGACTGCCAGGCTGGAGCCACCACGATTACCCGTCGAATGTCGTGTTGCCGGATGTAGCGAAGACACCGGGTGAGTAGGCTGAATGGCGGAAAGGCATAAGCATTCTCCCATAGCTCTGGAGGGGTGGAGAAGGCATCCACTGCTTCTGCCTCTGGATCTGGACGCCAGCTCAGGTAGCGGGGCAGGCGAGCATTGTGGCGGGCCGCAAACAGATCTACACTCAGCGGGCCGAATGTCTGTTGGATGGTAGTAAACACATGGTACGGGAGCATCCAGTCGCCCGTCTCCTCCACGTGACGGGACAGATAGTCTGCTGTGTGATTCAGGGCTCCTGGCACATGAACCGCTTCCAGCTCCAGGTGTCGGGCTGCAGCCCACTCCAGCACCTGAATCGCAAGCGTACACAGACGCCGAGAATGAGTGCCTCCCTGATGATTGAGGTATGCCACGGTGGTCGTGTTGTCGATTTCCAACCGGATGGTTTGGTTGGATGCGTTGCGGAGCAGGCTTTTCAAACCTAACCATACCGCGATCAGCTCTTTCCAGTTGATGTGGTGCGCAGCTTCGGACTCGTACCATGGCCCACCGGCATGCGCCGTATCCACAGCAGCACCCCATCCTACATTGGACGCATCTGAGCTCATGGTGACCGAGGGTGGGTCTCTGTGCATGGGTATCGGGCACCCCGCCGTCGTTATCCACCAACGCAGGTCGCTGCAGGCCCATTCGTCCAACTGTTGGGTCTCGAGACGGTGTGCCAGAGCCTCGTTCAGCAGGAACTGCAGTCCCCGGACATGAAGCATAGCGAGGTGTACTGCAGGGCGCGCTGCAACCATCTTGCCTGTCAGTGAACGCAGTTCGGCGAGGGTAGCAAATCCCTTGTTGCGCAGGCGACGGCACTCGGAGCGAATCTTGTCCAGCTTGTCGCGAGGCAAGGAAAATTCCATGCGCACCAAGTTCACTTCGACTCCGAGAAACGTCAGGATCTGCGTCGGCTCCATGATAGATTTCTGGCGGTTGACTATGAAGCCCAGTCGTTCTAGGAGGGCTGCCACAAACTGGATCTGCTGCGCCACTAGAGCAGGGGAGTGTGCTATCAACAGCCAGTCGTCCAGATAGACAACGATGAGCAGACCCATTGTACGGAGCCACGCTGCTACTGGACGAAGCACCTTGGTGAACGTGCGGGGTGACTCCGACAGACCGAACGGGAGGCAAGTGTACTGCCATACCTGGTCGTTCCACATGAACTGGAGGAGGCGTCGGCTGTGAATGTGCACCGGTACCGAGTGAAAGGCGTCCTTCAGATCGAGTTTCGCCAACCACCAGTTCGGCTGAACTAGCTCGGGTACGACTGCCAACGTTTCCATCTTGAAATGGGAGTTGTCCACAAACTCGTTCAGCGCTTTGAGGTTGAACACTAGCCTCCATCGACCACCGCTCTTGGGTACCATGAAGTGCGTGCTCTTGAATGTCGCGTCTCGCACTGTAGTGGGCTCGATGCCCCCCGCTGCTGCCATGTTGGACAGGGCCTCCTGCAGAGCAACCTGCTCCGCCTGAGCCAGGTGCATCTGTCTGGGAGCCTGCCGCTGATGAGGGCGAGCCAGCAGTGGGATACGCAGGCCATGCCGGACGGTACTGCGAACCCATGGGTCCGCCGTCAGTTGCTCCCAGTTCTGCCAGGCCACCGCAATGCGACCAGCGGGTGGAGGTGGATGATGTACCTCCCATCGCCAAGGAACGGGAAGCTGCAGCTCCGATGATGGTGTTGGCGATTCTCGGAGCTGCCCCGCGTGGTCCACTACTGGGCCTGAGGGCGAGGTGGTGACTTGCCCCTCGACCCTGGTGTCCACTGCCCTTGCGGTCTTCCGCGGTGGGGGCGAAATGAGCCTCGGTGGGGCGGCTGCTGGCGATCCCTGCCGTATTGGCGACTGGAGAAGGTATGCAGCTTCGGGGTACGCGATGACTGGAACGCGAACCCCTTTCGCTGAAAACCCGGCTTTGGCTGTGGCTTGCGCGCCAGCCTCTGCGCCTCGTTCAACGTCGCCTCGGATTTCACTTTCGTGGAGATGGCTGAGATAAATTCCTCACCAAACAGCTCCTTCCCAGTGCCTGGCGGTGGGATACCTTTGGTTACTCTTGCCACGTCTTTGTCCACAGCCTCGATGATGGACTGGCGGCGGATGCCATTGATCGAAGCCATCAGGTCTCCGACCAGGACAAGTGTGCGCTGGAGCACGTCCTTGACTTCCGCCGATGGTACGGAGAGTTCCTCCACTGCCGGAACACCTTCCTCTGCCTCGACCAGGGCGGAGAGCATACATGCAACGGGACCAGAGAGCGATGCCACATCACGTTGAACAGCCGCCCACTGCGAGTCGGATGTCTTGGGAAAACGGGAACCAGCCCAGCGCAACACTGTATCATCCACCTTGGGCACATAGGCTGCTGCCGTGTCAGGCCGTGGATGGTCCTCGTGCATGGCCTTCCGCTGCTCGTCAGAGAGCGGAGACCGAAAATACTTCTCAACATAACTCGTCACCGCCTCAGGGGCGTTGAAAAGGAATTTGCGACTCGCCACCGCAGTGGCCGGTGCAAAGTCCAGAGCTCTGGCCGCTCGTTTGGCTGCAGGCTCTCCGATATTACTACCGGTATTGGCTGCATCACCGCTGGACTCCAGGACCTCAGTCCCTGGGCCAGGCAGTGCTTCGTTCTCGGCGGAAACACAGAGCCCTACAGCCCGCTGTGCAGCCGAAAACGGATGCTCTCCAGTCGGAGCTAGCCCGTGCGGTGGTAGATAAAACGACCCATAGGCCGGGTAACCTCCATGCGGCATGGGCATAGCCGGCACCCCACCACTTCCGCAGACAGTGGGGGATGCGGCAGAAAGCAAATCACGCTGAGTGGGCTGTGGTGGCCTCTCGGGCACAGCATTCCCACTCTGGATCTCTGCAGCTCCACGATTTGCCACAAGCGGGTCGTGCTGCGTGGGACGCGCAGAACCAGCCGTCCCCTGACTGGGGAGGTCACTAACGGATGACATGGCTCTGCAATCAACACGTATGTAGGCTATACGGCTACGTCCAAAGAGAAATAAATCTGCAACTGCAACAATTTGAAGCGAAGAAAAAGGCCAAAGGAGTGAGGGAAAGGGCGGGAATATCAAGGGGACGAGGTTGGAGTTTGTGTAAATTTTCTCTTTAAATCGCTGTGAATTATTTGAAAAGCGAAGATTTGAGGCCTAACACACTGTCACATTCGTAGCCGGAGCCTCCGAAGTGTAACAGTCAATCATGCTATGCATTGCCGAAGACGACGACTATGAGAGTATGACTCACGGACTGGGACTCCAGACTCCACTATAATAATCATTACTACTAATACTAGTAGTAGTGAGGTAGACAGTGGTAGTACAGTAGAGCCAGCTCTCCGATCGATCCCTGTCGCGGATATCGATGAAATACATGAAAGTACTTGAAGTACATGACTGTACTCTCACAAAAGATAGATCAAAAACAAGAGGCACCAATCGATGAAAGTGTCTTTTGCTCTTCAGATTTTCTTGCTGTCTCGTGAAGACGAGAGAGCTTGTAGAGGCTTATTATTCCTAATAAAAGGACGAGGCCCTCGAGGGTGTGCCCCTTTTATTTTGAACTGACAGTACTGACACTGAGTAGATCTTGTACATCTACAGCCTACAGCCTACACTGCAGTACAGCCTACAGGACTGTGGTCAGTGTGGAGGTCTACTACAACTACCCGGCACACCACAGCCAAGTGACAACGACGTTTTTAGTCAAGACCAGGGCTAGGGAGTCATACCTGGTCAAGACCGACCTCGATTCAAGTCCGCCCATCGATACGACGGTAGCGGCTACTGTCGGGACGTTACTTCGGATCTCAGCTGATCGATCACGGACGGATATCGCGGATCATATCAGGCTGCAGGGCACGACAGCCGACAGCGCAGCAACACTTGCAGCTACAGACTAGTACTGAGTAGTACTAGTAGCTCTCTTCACATGATCACAGGTGTTGTGTCGGTGCTGTGCATGTGCGTGAGCAGGTGACACATGCGCGCTATCCGTGTACACTGCTTTGAAACTAACTAATTACTTTGAACGCATTTTGCAACAACCGGAGCTACAGTAGAGCTGTGGCCGTAGGCATTGATCATGTCTGGTCGTGCAGTATTGTACGTGCTTCTATGCTCAGTTCTCGCACTGCTTGTGGGCAGAACGATTTGGTTTGGCAGTCGGATAGTGGATCCGGAGCCATGTGGAACAAACGAGGAGCCGATTCCGGTGGGAGATACGCAGTATACAAGATTGGCGAAAGCCATTCAAATCAAAACAATTTCGTACACAAGATCCCAAAGTAACCAAACGAAATTGGCCCTGATCGAGCTGTCCAATTTCCTTAGGCGAGGTGAGTGCTATAGCCAGTACACGTGCATGAACAACCTATATTATGGCGTGTAAACCTCAATTCCTTATTGTTGAGCTATGAGGTGAAGTCACAATACAAAAAAATTAATAATTTAAAATATTTTAGATAAACTGATCCATGAGTTCTTTCAATCTTTGCCTATGTAGTTGTTGTCTTAGACATTTCCCTAATTTGCTACATGAGCCCATGATGAAAAGGGAACGAAAACTCTGGGTTCATAAACTGCACTCTTCTAGACTGGTGTGGATTGCATTGGTGGATGCACCACACTTCCATTCTAATGCTGAGTAGTAAAATGTATACACAATGTCATGTAGTGTTGTGTTGCCTGCTACTAAGTACATGTATTGCAATCAGTCCTCACTTTTGATATACTGACTGTAGAACCCTCTTATCCGGGCACGCTGGGACTGGGCGCTGCCCGTATCTAGGAATTGCTCGCGTTGCTCCACTGTTGTACCGTGGCACTACGCTCTGCCTGCGTGGTGTGCAAGCACTCTCAGCGCACTGGGTGCATCCTCCCGGGACCATGTTCGTTTACAAGCTTTACATGCTAGAATAATGGTATACATGTATTACCGCACACTGCACTACAATGCACTACAATGTAGATCTGTTCAGTGTTTCTCCCACATGTTCTGCGCACTCATACCTAGCAGATATCAGTAGTGCAGCTCCAGCAATATTGACACTAGCACACTAGCACACACAACAATTTCGAGTTTTCCATACAGAGTTCTTAGTATCCCCCGATTTCGAAGAAAGACCTCTGCAGCCCAGCACTACAAAGTACAATGACACTGTACATTCAAGGGGAAATGACTGTCAAAAGGTAACACTGGGGTACATCAGAATTCCAGAACCGGCAGTTTCTGGGCTCCAGATCAAATGGTCTGGGTTCGAAGAGGCTGGGATGCAGCGTTCCTGACTATGTGTGTGTGTGTGTCTGTGTGCATGTCTTTGTGTGCGTGTGATTGTGTGTGTGCATGTTTGTGTGCACGTGTGTCTGTGTGTCTGTGTGTATCTGCTTGTCTGTTAGATGCATATTGTATGTGCATATGACACATGTATATCTGTATTTCTCTTGCTGCAGAGTACCAGCATGTCTTCAGCAGCCCGTACATTGACGTTGAAGTCGTCGCTAACTACAGTCTGTTGATGCGCGTGGCCGGGCAAGATGCGTCACTGCAGCCATACTTGCTGATGAGTCACCTGGACGTGGTGCCCGCTGTGTCACCGGAATGGCAAGTAGATCCGTTTGCGGGTGTAGTTGACGAAGAGTTCATCTGGGGCCGTGGAGCTATTGATGTCAAGAACACACTGCTGGTTAGTGTTGGAATACGGCCCGACTGGTTAGTGTTGGAATACGGCGCGACTGTCTGTGAGCACTGACCCGGTGCCATGGCATGTGGTATACTGGAGGCGGATGGGCTGCGGTATGATGTTAGAGGGGGGGGGGGGGGGGGCTGTACTGTCAGTGGCGTACCCAGGGGGTGCTTTGGGTGCTGAAGCACCCCCCCCCCCCCCCCCCCTTATAATGTTCGACATAGGCCAACGTGCATGATGTACCCATGCCACTAAAAATATCATAACTTTGCGACCGATAGTCCGATTTGCGCAAATGACGGCCCATTGGAGAGGTCTTGACTCTTGAGTGAGGTTATTCATTGAGATGTGATTGAATTTGATATTTATAAAACTGTATTGTGCCCAAACTTTGAAAGAAGAAATGGGGATGTTCATAAACCAGACTTTTGAACACGATTTTGGTGGCACAATTAT